ATATTTGATCTTTGATATACCGCAAAAGATTTATAGAATACACCTTACATTATTTTCCAGAGTGCAAGTTAGATGTAAGAATAATTTTACGACATCTAACTTTCAGTTTACGACTACACGTCATAAACATGGCCGACGGAATAGATGACACAAGCTGGTAAAACATTAAAATCAAGATTTTTGATAAAATTTTGAGTAAAAAAATTATAAAATTTATTTAAAAACAATGTTTCTTCTTATACCAATAAGCTATAATTAAAATTATTCGAAATTGAACAACAAAAAACTCAACATTCACTTTAATGCAAGTTTTTGAATTGATATTTTGATCATGTGACTAGAAGTAACTAAAATCAATTAAAAGAAAAGTGTGACAAACAGAATAAAAAATAGATTGCATTGTTTCATAGATTACGCTAGTATTGGTAGTAAATAGCTTAATCTATGAAACTTGCATTTGTAATGATCACAAAATATTCTTGACTCTGCATGAACAGGTTGGGCACACACCACCAAATGGTCATTTAACCCCCGTTTGGTGTTCAGTCGCCCATATCGGCGTCTTTATTACCTACCAAATGGGAGAGAAAAATCGTTTTGTTCAGTTCTCTGGAATGAAGTGAAATGGTGCATAATTTCAACTCATTGGGAATAAAATATAGATATTTATCTATGCTCTGAACGAAAAAAATCAGAATTTCAACACGGACTTTTTTGCGCAGTGTCGTTCAAATATTCGACAAAATCGTCACCTATGTAAACAAGTGTAACGTTTCATATTATTCATAGGTAACAGCTAGTTCAGCAAATGAGAAGCAATCGTACTTATCCACGCCTCACCGCACACAGTGTAGTGCACAGTTACTCAAACTGTGGAAATTCATCTTTTGCATAAAAGTATTCAACTGCTGCAATGTTAGAACTATCTATGATTTGGATTGTAATTTTGTTAGCCCATAGTACATATATGAACACAATGAACATGATGAATAGTTAAGTACTTGTGACTTTTTGTTTATTTCTTTTGAAAAACATTTTTGTGAAAAACTTACATTTAGATATCTTTATCCAGCTATTTTGAATAGCTCAATAAAGCTATATAGTATGAAGAGATTGTGCTGGATCTGAAGAAATTAGTGCTGACTTTCATTTATGTTCAATTGAAACAGTAACACAAGTCATAACCTTTTTACCAGCAAGCTAATTTTTTCCATTTATTCCATTTTTAATTGGTTACAATGGTAACAGTGGACTGGTTTCAAAGAGCATTTTCTTCATTTAGATAAAAGTCAGCACTAATTTCTTGCCATATCTACAGGAAGAAAGATTAAACTAGAGCGTTCCAAAGAACACGTGTCGTCCACTTTTAGGTTATTTAAGGAAGTTACTAAATCTAAATCTGGTCAGCTATTCATATGCTTCTAGGATATACAGTATTTCATGATAAAAAATGGAGCATGATAATTCATAAAATGCAAAAAAAACATCCACACTTAGTATAAGTCTGCGGTAGAGTGTGTCCATCAAAGAAAATATAATTCCCATGCACCCTCAAATGAATAATTAAGTTGAAATTATTATAAATAAATATTTTTCATTTTACATCTGTTATTTTATGTGCTTCAAAGTCTTTACACCAATTGTCACTCTACACTATCTGTTGTGCGATCCCAGTCCTGGTGTATTTTCATAATATTTATGCCTCCTTTGAAGAAGGGAGGGCATATTGCTTTGCTGCTCTCTGTTGGTCTGTCTGTCGGTCCACCATAAATTTCCGTTAATTTTCTTCGCAGAAGTGGCACATATTGAAATGAAATTTAGTATACAGATTTATCATAAGAATATCTAGATCAAGTTCTGTTTTGGTTACGATTGGGCCATTTTGGACAGAGTTATACCCCTTGGACTTAGAAAAATTTCAATAATTTGCAGTTTTCGTTAGGGCTGGGCAAAAATATCGATATTTCAATATATTGCGATACAATGACAAAAAATATCGTATCGCAATACGATTTTGTAATATCGATATATTGGCAATATGCTTAGATTAAGGAATTTCGTCATTACGTATAAAAATAGACTTATAAAAGTTTGTTATTAAGCCAAACAGTAAGACAGAAGATTTGTGGGAGCAATTCAGAGCATAACTCAGATGAAATCAACAAGATTTTTTTCCGTGTTCAAGGTTACTTATCATAGTTATGTACATTCTGCATGTAAATTGAGTAAATATAGTAAGAAAATGCCATTTTAATTACATTGAAAATATTGCAATACATACCACAATACAGTTTAAAATATCGCAATATATCGCAATACAAAATCTTGGGCCAATACCCAGCCCTAGTTTTCGTTCATTTTTTTCTTCACAGAGGTTGCACATATTGAAATGAAATATGGTATATACTACATTTATATAGATTAATCATGTTAATCATAAGAATATCTAGGACAAGTTCTGTTTTGGGTACGTTTGAGCCATTTTCAATTTGGACAGAGTTATGCCCTTGGACTTAGAGAAAAATTTAAATAATTTGGGGGAGGGAGGGGGGGGGGGGACATAAGTGTTTTTCAAACATCTCGTGTTAAAAATCAGTTTCACTTTGTGTGGTAACTGAATATCATATAGTTACAAAGAACAGTATTATGAGCTCTTATACATGTATAAATGTTAAGTATCAATACCCTGCCACAGTGATTTGTTTTAATAGTTAAGTATTTTTGCTTTTGATTTATACATGTATTATTTTTGCAGGATAACAGATTTGGAAACGGCACTTGTTGAAAGTTGTGATTTTGGAACTCTCAAGAACATTTGTAAATGTAGACCTGTTCCAGATCATTTGAGACCGGAGGTTTGGCAGGTATTAACTTTTTTCTGACTTTTTCTTTCCCTTATTGTTTATGTCAAATCTGAAATGTACCACATGTGCCATACACATTTCAAATAAGGTTTTTTTTTTTTAAATAGATTGCATTGTTTTCTACAAAGTTTAACATATTTATTTGTCAAATTATGGCTTGAAAATATTCTTTGATAATTTTCAAACTTTTTCATTTTTAGATTTGTCTTAATGTGCAAAGTAAAGGGGATGCTTTGAGTTCATTTGATGGATTGTATGATCTTGATGAACAGGGAATAGTTAGAGAAGATTGCAAAGCTTTAGTTGGTATGATGTCTCTATATCTGGTATCTTAAGATTCCTCAACACACCAGCTTATGTTCTGATATTGCTGAGCATTACTTTTAAAAGGCATATCGCCCATTAATTTTTGGCTAGGCATTGAAACATAATTTGTAATAAATTCATGCCCCCATATTATAGCACTTTTCATTGATGTTGCCTTTGATTAAAGACACAATTTTGAATGGATATTAAAGTACACTGTACTAGTCTTAATTTTAAATACATATTTCAATTCTTTTCTTCCAGACAAACTTGGAAATGACGAGGAAGACAAAGTTTCAGTAGTCAGTGATTTAGAATCCATTATTACATTCTTTTCGAAATCCAGAAATGAGAAATATACATCAGACAATGGATGGCTTGAAGTCATACAACCCTTGCTGGCACTTAAATTAACCAGATCCCAGCTCTATAACTGTTTCTACTCCATCATCAACAAGTTTATTCCCAGGTACATTAATTTAACATATTTGATGCAAAATGAATTTTTAAACCATAGACACTTTACACAAATGAGAAAAAAAGTTAAGTATTATCCATACCTCAGTTTTTCTGAGGACAACTCTTACAGTACACACAATGTTATCCCTGACAATTCTAATGTGTCCTATTGCACATGACTCCTAGCATATCATGTGAATGGTCTATTTTGTTATGCATGTATCCTGTTAGGTTAATATTATTGTAATGTATTTTGGGTTATTACCTCCCTACTCAGTACTCACCATGAAAAATGTGGGTAGAAGTATACTAAATAAAGATTTTTTTCAATGGACTGACATAAATTTCATATTCAAATTTTCAGGGATTGTCTCAAAGGAGGAAAACCATTCCATTTGTTTCGCTTGCTCCTACAGTACCATGACCCTGAGTTGAGCTCATTTCTGGACACAAAGAAGATCATGCCGGATCTTTACTGCCATTCATGGGTATTCTTCAGCTGGGATATCATGCTTTCAAATATAAAAATAATATAAGAAGCAATCACCTCCTTTTTCTGTCCTTAAAACAGTCCTTGTATTTTAACATAAGTTTGATAATTATTACTTAATATATAGAGGATATCTATATTGTGTGATTTGATATTGGCTTTATCCAATGAGTTGAAATGGTGTATATATTAGCGAGGCTTGCCAAGCACATATACACCATTTTAACGAGTTGGATAAAGCCAGTTCAAATCATACAATTATAGATGTTCTTTTTATCTCATACGACTTTAACAAAACTTTGAGACTTCCCCTGCGAAACTACATGAATGATTGCTAATTTAAATTGATGACGTATAACTTGATGACGTAGCACAGTTGATGTTGACATGCCTCGAAAGAAAGTAGATCATGTTCAAAATTTAGAGCTTTTGCTATCTTCGTCTTTGAAAACATTATGTGGCAATTGCTGGAGCTTTACATCAATTGAACTTCTGACTGAAAGTTGTAAAGTCCAAGGGATTGTGGAAATTAACTCTTTGTACGATGGCAGTACAAAACGTGCTAGGCAAGGCTACTTGTAGATTCATTGTTGATCCATGGTAAGTTACACCTTTACTAGGTAGGCATACGTAGTATAGGCTTAATATAAGAAAGCATTGTTGAAGATGTTAAAGGAATCTTATAGGCCTATACAACAACTTAACTGCTAGGCTTTACTTTCTCTAAAAACGATTTAAAGGCGGGGGAAGGGGGGATAACATCCGTCTTCAAGTAGCCAATACAGGTACCTTGATAAAATAAAAAATTTCTTTGACATATACGAGTCTTTTTCTTGCTTTTAACGACATTATTGCACTTTATCATTCATTTTATAAGGGCAAGAATTTTTACTAATAAGAGTTTCAATAAAATAAAATCTTGGAGTGAGGGAACATGTCAAAACTGGAAGTGCTATTAATAAAGTATCTACCTGTTGATAAAGCATAAGTTTAACCAACGGGTCGTATCATCCACACGTATGAGATAAAAGATTGAACCTGATAATGTGATTTTTGAGGCTGATTTATCAAATAGAAACGAATATTTTTTATGTACATACATGTATATAGATTTTGTACTGTTTCTTAGGACATTTTTTGGGAGGACTAAAATGTGTCAGCCTGTATATGTAGTAGATTGACTTTACTGATACTGACAGTAGGGAATACTATTTTGGGAAATAAAAGAGAAGAGGTGATGAAAGTAGAATTTTAATTATGCCTTCTGGTTATGTATTGGGGTAGTGATGGCGGCTTAACCTTTTGAAAGCAATCATTTGATTGTACACATACATGTACTAGTAAATTTGTACACATGCAAATATACAGATAGCTGATGATATACAAGTTATTTACTAATTTGGAGATAAAATGTACGTGTGAACATATAGAGTTGTATTTTGATTGTTATCTTTGAGGATGACTGATTTCTCTTCACAGTTCAGAAGTCTCTTTGCTGCTCCTTGTGATCTACAAGTCATACAGGTGATGTGGGATGTGTACTTCCAACATGGAGACCAATTTCTGACATTTTTTATGGCTCTTGTCATCTTGGTTAATGCAAGGTTGGTACAAAATATAAAACATTTATATGACTTTTATACCCTGGAAAAACTTGATGTAAAGTTAGGAGTAATGAAATTTAAAACAGATAGAGAATTTTTTGGCAAAAATACAGCTCACTATTAAACATGTCTAATAAGAACAGTATCCAATTAAATAAATCTTCGTTCTAAAGTCTCTTTACAACTAGACTAACACTTTCTTTAAGTATCTTATCATCAATATTCCATATTCCAAGATATCTTGAAGTTTTTCTTTGGTCCCATTGCATCGGTTAAGGAGGTTTCACTTTTCTTGACATTTTCATTTCAGAGATCAAATTCTGGCAGGAGAATTGGATTCAAAGCAGCAAATTACAGGTACTTTAAAAAATTTAAGTGTAAAAGAGGAATAAAGTTTCAATAAAAGTTCATAATATATATCTTTCCTTGGGGTAATCTCATTGACTTTGGGTTTTTTTTAATTCAGAAATGCTGACATCCTTCCCCTCAGGTCTAGAGGCAGAGGACATTGAGGATTTCTGTGCCTTAGCACAGTACTACGCCACCAAAACCCCACAGTCTTTCAGAAGGGTATGAAATATAAACACATTAAAACCATAGAGCATTTGTAAGGACTCTTAAAATTTTACCATCATTAATGCTACTGTAAATATGAGAGAATTAGTTTAGTTCTCGACTGAATCAATTTTTAAGAAACAAGGTTATGCCTGTTTTCTGTAGGATTACCAGAGTCCATTATTTGGTAACAGTATGATCCCAGGAGGAAAGGAGGAGGATCTACTAGTTTCACAGGCATTATGTTTACCGGTTTCTGTGTCAGAACTTCTTCAGAACAACAGCCAAGCAGGAGTGAGTAATATTGTTTGAATATGGCTACATCTTAATTTCCTGGAAAGCTGATAGTCATGACATTAACATGCAGGGGACTGTAGATTAGAACTTAGTAACCTAATGATCAATATGAATGAAAATGTGTAAAATAAAGTAAACCTAAGAGAATGTTGTTTTTAGATATTGCTGTGATCCAAATAGACAACTGATAATGGAACAGATAAAGTAATCATATACATGTATGTACAGTGTACCAGTTAGTTACCTGCACATGTACTGTATTATGAATTCCTTTCTTGTTGACAGGGTGATGGTGTGCGATACTTTGTGGTGGACTGTCGACCAGCTGACCAGTACAACAGTGGACATCTGCGTACAGCATTCCATCTAGACGCAAATCTGGTAAGTTTCTAAAACACTACAGATGTATTTCCTGTAGTAATGTTTTTACTTTGGTAAAAAATTAGGGTTTATTGAATTTTCATGAAAAACTATTTTTCATGATGCATTAATGCAATTTCAGTATATTCCTAGTGGCAGAATCAAGCAATGTTAAGTGATTTGAGATGTCAATGAATAATAATTGGTTGCTTTGTAGATGTTACAGAATCCCAGAGAGTTCAGTACTGCTGTGCAGGCTTTGTTGGCTGCACAACAACAGTCAATATCCTCAGGTCAGTTTCTTCTATTTTTGGTCATTGATAAACACTCCAAATTGATTAACATATGCTGCCTATAATGCTCCTTTTGCAACAGAATGAAATCATCAAATAAACACTATTTTAAAAAAAAAAGAATTTAAATTAGAATTAAAAATGTAAATTGAACAAAATATTGTGAAGTCCAAATCGTGGGATAGAAATATTTTATTTAGAATTAATCTAGGTGTTTAGGTTTATAGATGTATACTGTACTTGTATTTGAAAAGATTATTTATTTTCATATGTGACAGTGAATAATCAGATCAGTATTATTGTTTTCCAAGTGCATGTGTTGAATTTACCTGTAATTCTTTCAAATTTTCATAATGTAGAGTGTATCATTCTCTAACATTGTTTCAATTACTTTCTTGGCCAATCAATATCCTTTAACTTTTATTAAAAGCTAGGTATTTTAAAAAGAACATTTTGTAGCTGAGATGTCGGAGTGAAACGGTTCACCGCGGTATTTTTTCTCAGTTCGATACACGGTACAAAATCTCTACTTTCGGTTCGGTTCGTTTTTTGGTCGGGATCGTCATTCATATGGGTTTGGCATAAGGTATAAACATGCTTTTCAGTGTATTTAATTCAAGAACGTAAATTTTTGTGGACTTTAAGTTTGTAAAATTATTTTTAACAGTCAAATCGATTAAATTGATTTATTCTATTCATTTTGCACCTGAATTATTTGACTAGATTAAGTAAAAGGAAGCATAAAACAACACAGTCAACAGTTGAATTTGTTTCCTTCTATCAAAATGTATCATATCGAAAATAACCGAACCGAGACCAAATTTTTCGATACGTATCGAACCGTGAAGGAGGCGTATCGTTTCACCCCTACTGAGATGAGATGAGTACTTATGCTGCTATAAGCTCATTTTAAATGATCTTTTTTGGATTTTCTAGGTTCAGTAGCTGGAGGAGAACACCTTTGTTTTATCGGCAGTGGGCGGGAGGAGGAAGATCAGTATGTCCATATGGTCATCGCCAACTTCTTACAGAAACACTATCAATATGTCAGTTTTGCCAAGGGAGGCTATCAAAGTATGGAAACAAATGTGTTTTTTGTCCACATTGTGACAGAATTTTCAATATTTATGCAAAGCTTCTGGTGTATTCAGTAAACAGATTTGGAAATTTAAAACTTGAAGAATTTTTTTTTTTTTGATACAAACATGTACAATATTCCTACAAATTTACAACTCTCTTCAAGTATTATATGTAATGGCAAATTGAATAAATTCTTGGAAATGTGAAATTTTTTTTGGCCAGGTTTACATGAAATTTTAAAGGACAGAATATCAGAGGGACTAACAAGTCATAATCCAAAACACTGTATCGTGTGTAACCCAGAGGCATGCAACAGCTCAAGTGATATGGAGAATGGGGAAGATTTTCATAGAAATGGAAAAGTAAGCATGCATCATTGTTTTGGTGATGATCTATTATACCATTTTAAAAAATGCTATCATGATTATTTAACAATTAAAAAGAAATTAAACAAAAATGGAATTTTTCTAAACTTTTCTAATTTATCATATATAACTCATGTATTAATCAGTTTAATTACGTTAATTTTTTTAAAAAAATCCACTTGTGTTTTGTTATTTGTAGGGGGAAGAAAATGGTGAATCATTCTTTGGAAAATTAACATCCACAGTGAAGAGCAAGTCAGCTGTGATGAAACAAAAGCTAACGGATTACATTAAAAATGAGCATCAAATGCAGGAAAGGTAAGTTATTCTGTGGGTATGCAGGATCAGTATTTATTTTCTGCATTGCCTCCCTTGAAAACATTATGAAATATTTCCTCTATGAAATAGAATTTTAACCTTATTGAATTGTTTCTATATGTTTATGATGGAGAAGTTTTATTTTTGGACAGGCATGTCAGCAATACAGACCGTGTGGGCAAGAGATACAGAAACATGGCCAATGTCTTTTCTATTGGTGATGATGATGATGGTAAGATTAATTTTTGCAGGAAATCTTTTGTCATGGCTATAAGATGTAGAGAAACTCCTTCACTTTTGTAGAAGATGTGAAATTAACTTTGAAAGACAGTCCTCTTGCATAAAATTATAAAATATATTTTCTCTGTTATAAAAGTGATGACAAATGCATGTAAAAAATGGCTCAACTTTGAAAAAAAGTTATCCTATTCAAATCTTGCTAACAATTTAATCTTTTTTTTAATTTTACCAAAAAATTAAAGGGGTTATTCTTGCAGGGTTCCCTTCTCAAATTGTTTTTTTTTATTGCTAGGTGATGACCAAGCTGGGAACTCTTCTGATGATGAAAGAAAAGAAGTTGTAAATGTGGAAGTTTGGCTGAAGAAGCCTGATGTTAGATACTCTTGTAAATGTCAAGAGGTTATTGGTAATGGATACATGTTTCCAAGGTAGGTGAAAGATTTCATGAGCAAGTCGGATCTTTCCACTTTTAAAGTCATATATGGCATATTTTTTATAAGTTCAGACTAACTAAAATTAAAAAGATCTTTCTAATTGTTTTGTTTCTTTATATAAAGATAGGACTTTCCTGTAAATTACACAATTTAAATCAATCGCCTTTCATAGATATCACAGATTTAAAACAATAACCGATTTATTTCCGACTCAAACAGACACAGTTTAAAGTCAATTGAATTGTTGAAACATGGGGATAACTAAGTTTAAAATCGGTGATATTTTGAGTTTGAACGTAAATAACAAATATCATGTAAATCTACACTTAATCTCATATTTTTATTTTTTTAGCTCAGATACCCATATCTTTAAAAAATAAATTATCAGAATGCATACAGTAAGCATGTCTTATAAAATTCACCTCATGATTCATTATGTTTCCATGCACAAAATGAATATTAGGTGCTGGCTTTAAAGAAAAAGCAATCAATCAAAATAACCAATAATTTGACATTTGAAGTAATATTTACGTGTATTTTCAAATATTTTGTAGTTATGTGTTGGTGACAGACACTCATTTATATGTACTTCGAGAGATCCCCAACCGAAAAAATATGGCACATATTCAGGCAAGGCGGGCTTTGGGAAGTGTGGTAAAAATTACATCCAAAAGAAAACACCCAGACTTTATCACATTCAAGTATGGCTCTGTGGATGGAGAGGTTATTCAAGTAACAGACATTGACCGATTTCTAATGCCACAAGCACCAGAGGCAACTAAAGTTATCAAACAACAAATTATTAAAGTGTTGGATGCATTGGAAAGCTGAGTGTGGTTCTAAAACTTTTTTCATTTGGATGCCCTGTGTTTTCATTCAGAACAAATGTTGTCTATCGTCAAAGATGTTGAGATTTATTGACAAATAATACATAAAATGTATTCAATTTGCATTTGCAATGTTATTGCTCTTTATAATTAGGAACTTTTGAAAGTTTTCCATCTTTTATTTAGTTCTCTGCTGTTATGATAATTTTGTTCTCAGTTTTGACTCACTGCATATCAGAGTAATATATTGAACATTTATTCAACTAAAGATACATGTATGTTTGAGTACATTTTTTTTTCTTTTTGTTGAAAGCTGGTTTGTAACCTTTATTTATTTCTATAACTATTACTTCCTGTGATACAATATTTAATTTTTGTCATTCTATGGATTTATGTAGTTCATGTGCTTTTTTGTTTCTCAATGCATGTATTATATTTTTTTTTTTTTACAGATTTTATTTTTTTGCTGCATTAATTTTCCATGAAATTATCTTCTAAGTTAAATATTTATTTGAAAACCAAATATACTTCCTCCACAAAACTCAATTTGTCACCAAAATACTTTACTATGAACATGGTTTTAGAACTCCTTTAAGGAGAAAGGATAGTGCATATATTATATGGGCATATTGCAATACACAGGATAAAACACACAAAAATAGAAATATTTTTTCTTAGTTTTAATGCTTGCCTTTAATGCACAGAAGAAAACCCACCTTTGTCTAGAAAGTATTATTTCATGGGGAATTTTTATCTGATATATACATGCACACAAATAATAAGTAATCTAAAATACTTGTATTCTTTTACATAAAAACTGGTTTAACCTTTTGGGTCTTGTACACACTTATCCAATATTCAACAATATAATGACTCGTATAATCATTTTTTAAAATATATATTTAGCTGGGTTTGATAAGGTATATTAAGAGATTCTTCCAACACATAAAATCAAGAAATCAAGTGTGATCTTACAAACTACATGTACAACCTGATGGGGAAGATATTGTTTGATTTAGAGTTGTCATTTTGACAATCATACTGAGGAGATATGCCTTGCCACATAGAAGCCTGAGATGCGGTACTAATGATGGTTGTCATTTGTTCTTTTCTAGTAATAATGTTTTCAAATGTTTGATTAAATCTTTGTGCATCATTTTGTATTATGAATCTACACATGTAATTCTTGCAAGTACTAGTTTGGTTTAAAAAGCTGTTTTACTATCTGTTAATTGCAATTACAATAATGGGTTTTTGAACAACAGCAGCACCATCTTTTTTTCTATATACGTGTACATGCATTTGAAGTATCCATCATCTGCATAAGCTTGTTTGTAGATAAACCTGTGTTGTAAACTGAAGAAGCTTGATATAGACATTAAACAACATTGACTGGGTAACTTGACCAAAAATGTTCAAATCAATTGTTTTGTTGAATTACTATACTTGATTGTGATATATGAATGCAAGTTTAGAAATACACATCTTGAAATTGAAAAAAATTGTATCTCTTAGGTTCTTGTGTAAATAATTAAATTAAATGCATAAACTGATTAAGGTATTATATTTATATTATATGTATGGAGATAAAACTTGAGGTTGTATTGAAAATATAACTGTAAACTAACGGGCCGGGGCAATGCCACCATAGCATATGGCCTCATATAAAGAGGAAGGATCTTAATTTTTTTGTCATTTTCTATGCCTTGCAATCAACCACGACCATTTGGAAGTCATCAGTTTAATTCATTTTTAGCTCACCTGAGCCGAAGGCTCAAGTGAGCTTTTCTGATCACATTTTGTCCGGCGTCCGTCTGTCTGTCTGTCCGTCCGTCTGTCTGTAAACCTTTCACATTTTCGACTTCTTCTCAAGAACCGCTGGGCCAGTTTCAATCAAACTTGGCACAAAGTATCCTTGGGTGAAGGGGATTCAAAATTTTTCAAACGAAAGACCACGCCCTTTTCCAAGGGGAGATAATTATGAATTAGAGAAAAATTAATGGCAATTTTAAAAAATCTTCTTCTTAAGAACCACTGGGCCAGGAAAGATGAAACTCATGTGGAATCATCCTCAGGTAATGTAGATTCAAGTTTGTTCAAATCATGACCCCCGGGGCTAGGGTGGGGCCAAAATGGCCGACCCAAGTTTTACATAGGAATAAATAGGAAAAATCTTTAAAAATCTTCTTCTCAAGAACCATTGGGCCAGGAAAGATGAAACTCATGTGGAATCATCCTCAGGTAATGTAGATTCAAGTTTGTTCAAATCATGACCCCCGGGGCTAGGGTGGGGCCAAAATGGCCGACCCAAGTTTTACATAGGAATATAAAGGAAAAATCTTTTAAAATCTTCTTCTCAAGAACCAGTGGGCCAGGAAAGACGAAACTCATATGGAATCATCCTCAGGTAGTGTAGATTCAAGTTTGTTCAAATCATGACCCCTGGGGCTAGGGTGGGGCCAAAATGGCCGACCCAAGTTTAACATAGGAATATATAGGAAAAATCTTTAAAAATCTTCTTCTCCAGAACCACTGGGCCAGGAAAGATGAAACTCATGTGGAATCATCCTAAAGTAGTGTAGATTCAAGTTTGCTCAAATCATGACCCCCGGGGCTAGGGTGGGGCCAAAATGGCCGACCCAAATTTTACATAGGGATATATAGTGAAATCTTTTAAAATCTTCTTTTCAAGTACTTCAAAAGCTATGACTAGTGATATTTATATGGAATCATCATCAGGTAGTGTAGATTCTAGTTTGTTCAAATGATGAATGCCTGGTTTTTTTTTTTTTAAATTCAAGCCCGATGTGCTCAGGTGAGCGCTGTGGCCCCTGGGCCTCTTGTTTACTGCAGCAACAGTATAATTGTTCAAGGACCAGTTGGCCTATTCTGTAGCATAAGGAATGTGAATAAAGCACTGAGTATGCACGAGAAAGGCCTATTGAAAATGATTTAAATATGAATTTAAATATGAATTCAATTTCTAAACCAAAGTTGCAATTATTAAAAGGAATGAAATTATGACAAAACTTCTCAAAAAGAAAATCTTTTGGCAAAAACTATTTTGTGGTTTTCTGGTGGTTTGAACCCAAGCACTAAAAGTCCTGTGTTTTAGTTGGTGAATGGAGACTGACATGTTAAGTGTTATACCACACAAATCATATCAGGAAGTGGCTTTTGTTTGTGATATGATCCTTGAATAACTAGACTTTAAATATTTCTCAGAAATCTTACACTACAAAGTGGACTTTTAAGGTAAACTTTGATCATGTCCTTCAATTTTATAAACCAAGGAAATGTCACTTTTTACAGATATTTTGAAGTCATATTTAAAAAAAATAATAAAATTGCGCAACGACACTCTTTCATGGAAAATTTTTGTTTTAGTTGGAAAAGATAATGCAGTAATCTTTTTTGCCCTCCTTTATGTGTAGATGCTATTTTCACGACTGATTTTAATACTTGCATGATTGTTGCAAATTGCATAAATTTTACATTATTAATTAAGGTGATACATTAACCTAAATTGAATTTCAAAGGAAATGTTGAAATAAGAAATTTGAAATTCTTTGAAATTTGACACACTGGTCAAGAAAAGCATATTCCAAAGGGTAGGTTGGAGTCACAATAGGAAATCAAAATTTACATTAAAATACCTATATTTACGTATATTGGTAAAAGCTTTAAATATCACCTTTTAAGACCTATTTGGCAAGAAAGGCTGAAAATTGTGTAAAGCATGTAGATTCTACATTTTCCTGATCACGGCCATTTAGGACAGGTTTGGGCCACACAATGGTATCGAAGTTTAATATTAAAATATTCTGGAAAATCTTTTAAAATATTCTTTTCAAGAACCCCTGGAACCAAAAAATTGGAAACATATGGGAGTTCACTGAGATACTGTCGGTTGTGAATTGTTCTAGTCATTTTCCAAGGGGTAAGTTGGGGCGACAAAAGTCCAGAAAAACTGAAAATTAGTTACAAGTTTCCTGAGGTAGTGAAGATTGTATACTAAGAACATTTTGTACTGTGTACAGTCTCTAGGGGTTGGAATGAAGTCACAGTTTGGATTATATGGGGATAAATCTTCATAGCTCCTCTTCCCAAGAACAGCAAAGCCATGGTGAATCATAGTAACGTGGAAGCATCCTGTGGTAGTGTAAATTTATTTTTTTGTTTAAATCAAGGCCTCTGTGAATTGATTAAAAGCCGTTGATATATCTATAGGTAGAACTTATGGCTATATCAGGGGAATATTTCTTTTCTTGTTGACGTTTTTGAATAAATTCTCATTCATACGAATACAAAATGGATCTGTTTATAACGGGACATAACTAGAAAACCCAGTGGAATTCCAGCAAGATGCTTTTGAGCGAAATCTATATTTAAAGTGTTAATTTTTTAAATGACTAACCACAAAATATTTTCCAAATATTTTACTTACACTGTCACTATATAAGAACCACAGGATTTATACGTTTTTGTTGATTTTTCTGTCACATCAACCAATTTGTCAGTAGCCTGCCTCAGTTAATAAAATTATCATATCGAGTCAGCACATTTTTTAGTATTCGAATAAATTAGGACAAATATCATCATAATCATGTGATACTGGAATATTATCGCATATAAATAAGGAATGTTGATGATAAAAAACAAAAGTACCGGTAATCATGTTTGTCATAGAATTTAGTTGTTAGCAGCCAGATATAATCCTTTTGGCTATGGTTATTTGAACATCAAATCATGAAACCGATATGGCTGACTTTGGTATCTCTGAATACTTCACTTGGATATGCTGAGTGGACATATGAATAAAAGTAACTTTCATCTAACGTCGTCGATATATGAAAGCCGAGTTGAAGGCCGTCTTCGCATGTAATCTGTCGATTCCGTAAACAAAGGAATAAATGATCTGAACATAAGTGTTATTCTCAACCATAAAAATTCAGTATTGTATTCCATCGTATTTCTGAAAGCCTGTAGCCGTATCTTCTAAAGATATTCCCATATTGTTGCTTCCAAAGTTTTCAATTATTTTTTTTTCAGTGCTTATAG